GGCAGCTCAGCGCCGATCGAGGAAATCTGCGCGGAGCTTCGAGCGTGTATGGCCATGCAGCTCTTGCTTCTTCGAGAGAAGTCCGACACGAAGAGGGCACAATCACTCGGCATCGGATCGAGAAATCGGGTCATATGGCACTGTTTACCAGCCTCGAAGGTATCCCTATCCCTAAGATTGACACGCCAAAAGGCGATGACAATCTTAGGGATCCGCCCTCAAAAAATTACCCTGTGACGTACCCAACCCATTTGTATCAATGGAAACGAGGAGTTGGCCGAAACTTGTATGGACAATCAACTTGATGTGTAAGCTACTTGGGAGGCGTCACTGTGCTGGGCCCCGCAAGCAGGCCTCGAAAGTGGCGACAGTTTCACAGATCGCAGCACCCCCAGGGATGGCGAGGTCTAATTTGAATCCCCGTGGCGTCACTGTGCTGGGCCCCCCAGCAGGCCTCGAAAGTGGCGACAGTTTCACAGATCGCAGCCCCCCAGGGATGGCGAGGTCTAATCTGAATCCCCGTATGGCGTCACTCCGCTGGGCCCCCCAGCAGGCCTCGAAAGTGGCGACAGTTTCACAGATCGCAGCCCCCCAGGGATGGCGAGGTCTAAATTGAATCTGCGGTGGGTACCCACTGTGCTGGGCCCCCCAGCAGGCCTCGAAAGTGGCGACAGTTTCACAGATCGCAGCCCCCCAGGGATGGCGAGGTCTAAGTTGAATCCGCCCGTGGCGTCACTGTGCTGGGCCCCCCAGCATGCCTCGAAAGTGGCGACAGTTTCACAGATCGCAGCCCCCCAGGGACGGCGTGGTCTAATTTGAATCTGCGGTGGGTACCCACTGTGCTGGGCCCCTCAGCAGGCCTCGAAAGTGGCGACAGTTTCACAGATCGCAGCCCCCCAGGGCCGGCGAGGTCTAATTTGAATCTGCGGTGGGTACCCACTGTGCTGGGCCCCCCAGCAGGCCTCGAAAGTGGCGACAGTTTCACAGATCGCAGCCCCCCAGGGATGGCGAGGTCTTATTTGGGTCCGCGCGTGGCGTCACTGTGCTGGGCCCCCCAGCAGGCCTCGAAAGTGGCGACAGTTTCACAGATCGCAGCCCCCCACGGATGGCGAGGTCTAATGTGAGTCCGCGGTGAGTACCCACTGTGCTGGCCCCCCCCCAGCAGGCCTCGAAAGCGGCGACAGTTTCACAGATCGCAGCCCCCCAGGGATGGCGAGGTCTAATTTGAATCTGCGTGTGGCGTCACTGTGCTGGGCCCCCCAGCAGGCCGCGAAAGTGGCGACAGTTTCACAGATCGCAGCCCCCCAGGGATGGCGAGGTCCCATTTGAGTCCGCCGTGGGTACCCACAGTGCTGGGCCCCCCAGCAGGCCTCGAAAGTGGCGACAGTTTCACAGATCGCAGCCCCCCAGGGATGGCGAGGTCCATTTGAGCCCGCCGTGGGTACCCACTGAGCTGGGCCCCCCAGCAGGCCTCGAAAGTGGCGACAGTTTCACAGATCGCAGCCCCCCCATGGATGGCGAGGTCTCATTTGAATCTGCCCGTGGCCCTCACTGTGCTGGGCCCCCCAGCAGGCCTCGAAAATGGCGACAGTTTTACAAACCGCAGCCCCCCAGGGATGGCGAGGTCTCATTTGATAATTTGAAATCTGCGGTGGGTACCCACTGTCTGGGCCCCGCCATCAGGCCGCGAAAGTAGCGACAATTTCACAGATCGCAGCCCCCCAGGGATGCGAAGGCCCATTTGAGTCCGCCGTGTAACCCCTATGCGGGCCCCCCCAGCAGGCCTCGAGTCTGGCCGACCAGTTTCACAGTCCCCGCACCACTCGATGGCGAGGTCCCATTTGAAGTCCGAGTGGTACCCACTGTGCTGGGACCCCCCATCGAGGCCTCGAAAGGTGGCGACAGTTTCACGAGATCGCTGCCCCCCCCAGGGATGGCGAGGTTCTAATTTGAGTTTGCGTGGGTACCCACTGTGCTGGGCCCCCCCAGCAGGCCTCGAAAGTTGCGACAGTTTCACAGATCGCAACCCCCCAGGGATGGCGAGGTCACATTTGAATCCGCCGTGGGTACCCACTGTGCTGGGCCCCCCAGCAGGCCTCGAAAGTGGCGACAGTTTCACAGATCGCAGCCCCCCAGGGATGGCGAGGTCCCATTTGAATCCGCCGTGGGTACCCACTGTGCTGGGCCCCCCAGCAGGTCTCGAAAGTGGCGACAGTTTCACAGATCGCAGCCCCCCAGCTGGCACGCAGCGACGAGCGAGGCGAAAGGCAGGGAGGAAGAGAGGGACGGGAGGGGGTGGGAAGGAGACGCGCGAGCAGTGCTCTATTCAAAACGAGAACCCAACGCAGGAGGGTTGGGAATAAGGGAATCCCTAAGATTGGCAGCGTGATGAGGAGGTGCCCAGCATAGGGATAGGGATATGTTCCACGCTGGTAAACTGTGCGTCGAATCGGGCCGCATCGGCACGAAGCCCGAATCGAACTGGGTCGACTGCGGCAGGATGCACTGCAGCGGCAAGGCAAGCGTCGGAGCGCATCGGATCGTCGGAATACCGGACTCGAGCAAGATCGAGCCGGCGGGAATCGATATCGAATCGGACCGAGATGGACCCTGAAATGGAAGTGGCCAGGGCTGCAGGAATGGCCGTAGCGGGGAAGAACCATGAGCTGACAGGGAAAGTTGCTAAATTGGGAAGAGTGGCAGATGTGGAAGGGCTGGCCCTGGCGCCAGCTTTGCCAGCGCCCTTGCAATGAGGAGTTTGGTTGGATGAGACGAGGGCGAACTGACACAACGGCATCTCAAAATCGGTCCCTGGACCCCTCCCGCTGTCCAAACGAACCAGTTTTCCGACGTGCGACGAGCCGACGAGGGGGCCCTCCGAAGGCCAAATCCGCCGATCCGGCGTGTAAGCTGTAAGGAATCTCAGCAAGAGCTTCAGCTCTGAGCCTAAGCAAGAGCTTCAGCTCTGCTTGGGGGCGGTCGCCGGGGTGGCTCTGCCGGGAAGGGGGGGAGAGGGGAGCGGGGGGCGGTCCCCCATCTGGCGTTTTCTTAATGAGTTGCACATTCCCCTCAGATCCAGCCGCCGCCGCCCCCAGGACTCTCCCCGGTCCGGGCAAAGGGGGGTGGGGGGTCCAATCGAGGAGGGAGAAGGCCACAGAGCCGCGAAGATCACCGAATCCGGCGCCCCCCGGCCATTACAATATAGTTTAAGTCGGGCGTGTCCCCCTACATGGGGATTTTCGACGAAAAATGAAAAGATACCCAAAATACTCCAAAATGGCCAAAAAGTATTCAAAACATAATACACCCAGACTAAGACTATTGTTTGACTACTTTTGAATATCCCCCCTGTAAAGCGACAGGCCCGGCTTAAATATAGCTGCCTCAACTCACCCTTGCTCTGAGAGCATGCCCCCCGACCCAGATCCGAGGCACAGCCTAGAGGCACGAGCCCCTCCTGAGCCCAAAGCCGCCCTGGCCTCAGCACCTCTTTTGGCGGCGCGCAGAGGGGGGTAGGAGGAGGGGGGAAGGCTTCTAAGAAGCGCCCCTGCTTCTTAGAAGGCGCGGGCCTTACCTCTAGATGTAAGGCCGGCGCCTTGTAAAAAGCAGACTCCTTCTAAGAAGCCTTCCCCCCTCCCCCCACCCCCTTGTGCGCGCCGCCAACTCTTGACCATGCCAGCTGATGGGCACCTCCTACTCCGCTGGCGCGTCGTCGTCGGCCGCCCTTGTGGGCATGGTGCGACTATCAAGCACGCCAGCCCAGGCATCCGGCTGCTCCAATCTCTTCGATGCGTGGGCCCAGGAGGCCTGGACCGCTCCCGGGGGGCTGGCTTTACGCTCCCGAGGCCCGGCGAGGGCCCCTCGCTCCTTGGCTTTGGAGCGTCGGATCTCCGGGAGGGGGCAGAGGGCTGTGGCACCTGCCAGTGGTGCAGCCTCTCCGAGGCCTCCGCCCTGTTCCGCAGCCGCACGCGGCCCACGCGCGCCGCTGCTCCGACGTCCACCGCCCACCACGGCTGCGTCTCCCCAGCCGGCGAGGTGTGGGTGCAGGACCCGGCGCTCCACCTCAGCGACAAGCCAGCAGGCATCACTCGGCGGCGCGCCCAGGGGGGGGAAGTGCGAGGGGGCGGGCCTTCTCAGAAGGCTCGGAAGTCCCACGGCCGTCTGAAGAGTTTTCGGGGCCTTGCCCGAAGGCACAGAAGTGCTCGGAAGGCGCGAGGGGCTTCCGAGAAGTCCCGCCGCCTTCTGAGAAGGCCTTCTCCTTCTCGCTTCGACCCTGGCCCGCCGCCGACTTACGCGAGATGGCATCGCAGCCTCAGGCGGTGGCTGCCGCACGCCGCCAGCACGGAACGCTACGATGGAAACGAAGGCGCGCGCGCGCGCGACCTTACGCGGGCAACTTACACGCCAATGTCGGCGCAGTCGAACCCGTTTTTCTGAACCGACGCGGTCCACAACGCCGGCGCCGTCGCCGCAGCAGCTGCCGCCGCCGCCGTCGCCGTCGCCCCCGCCGCCGCCGCAGTCGTCGTCATCGCGGTCGCCTAGGCAAGCGCTTCACCCGGAGATCCGACGGTGCGAAAAACATGCAACATCCTGAAACATCACGACCAGAGCCATAGATCCCATCTTCCTCCGGACTGCTGGCCCCAGGGCCTGACACAGGGGGAAAACTCTGGGCGCGGAAGAAAAAAGTGCCACGCCTGGATCTCGTGGCATCTCGGGTCCGCGCTGCGCGAGCCGCCGCCGCGGCTGCCGCCGCATCCGCAGCAGCCCCCGCTTGCGACAGCGAGGACCCGCAGATGCCTCTCAACGCCTGCTCCTCGCCTGCCGCCGCCGTCGTCGTCGCGGTCGCCGCCGCTGTTGCCACCGTTCCACACGAGAAGGCGCTCCCCACCCAGACCCCCCAACGTCATGACTGTTTCAGGACGTGGACCCCCAGAGGGCTCGACCCATCCCCGGGACTGGCTTCTGATCCCAGGTCGTTGCTCTGCCGGCCTCGGGGC